AGAAACACTTTCTTTCTGGTAATGACCAAAGCGAACTGTTCCAGACAAAAAAAGAGCTGGTTAGGTTGATGTGATGGAGGGAAAACACAGAGTGATATAAATATCGACACCCGGAGATAAAAATACCTAAATAAAAAAAGATCAAAGAGGAAGTAATAAAGAAAAACCCACTGAGCATCCTGCAGATCCCCATCACTGTCTGGAAGACAGGGTTAGAGAAGCAGGCCTTCAGCATCAGGGTTTTCCCGTTGGGCAGACCCAGTTTAAGCGGCTTGTGTTGAGGTATGAACAGCAGCCGGGCGTCAGCGTGAATCCCATATTTTTCCAGAGTCCAGGCAGTTCGTAGGAGCCAGTGCTGCTTCTGCTCCCACCACAGCGCGTGGTCCGACCAGTCACGTTTGATTTCTGTAAAAGACAAACACAGAAGGAAATACTTAGATTCATTACAGATCATTGGGCTCTTTATCCGACAACAAGCTGGAACTGGATCCCTGAGGTGTTGGATCAAGCAGTTTACTTGTTAAACAACATGACAAGCAGTTATAACAGGGAAGGAAGTGCTTCAGTCTCATCAAAGGGTTCAGCACCCCACCAGGTATGCTTCCTAAACTTAAAATCAGCCTCTGCTCACATTGCAGTATCAGCATTCAATAAAGATCTTTTTGAGGATTCATATTCAGACAGGAGGAGCTACTGCTGGAGTTTCTCTACCAGAGGTCTTCCTGGATGAGTGTTTTATTTTCATCATCTGTCTCCTTCATTTCTATCAACTGTTGGCAGATGGGAAGCTCTTCCTCCTGCTTAATTTCCCTCATGTTAAAGAGTTGGTGGTTCCTTTTCACTGTGACGACACTCGCTTGCATAGGAGGAGGGATTGCTGCAGAAGTCAATTACTGTATGCAATCAGCCAGGGTTTCCTCAGGAAATAACTGCTCATTACCTGGCCACATATCAGCTGGAATTATCTTTATAGTAAAACAAACTGTGTGTTATTCTATTGTATCCAACTGAATTTCAAAATTATTTTACTGGAATCAGATGAATGGGATAAGAATAAATTAAGTTTGAGCTGAATTTAAATCAGTAACACTGAATATGAGGTTGTTTGTCTTGTAAACTAACTTAAACCGAATTAAGATTCAGCTGTTCAATTCAGTTATTGGGATTTGGTTAATTCGTTTACTTTAGGAAAATATGGTCTAAATCCTGCAGGATATGAGAGTTTACTGATTATTTGACATCTGAACAACCCTAGTTTTTAGCATTACATGTGTAGGTAGCCTAAGTATTGAAAACATTCAACAATTTAGCAGCTGATCAGTTGTTCTGCAGTATAATACTGCAACTTATTTAGATCTGTTGAGCTGTGCATGATAATACATGTTCAGAGTCCTTCAGACAAGCGCACTGTCTGTTAGCTTAGCAAATGGATTTAATGGAAACAATTCACTCTGACATTTATGTGAATCATCACCAAGAAAAGGGTGTTTCCATGCTTCAGGAATTAAAGTCCAATTTTCCATTCTCTTATATTAGCAACATTTCAGTGAGTTATTCTAAAGAATTACCGCAAAAGAAAGACTTTCTGGATCAATGATGTTATAGCAGGGAGGTTAAAGGGTTACATCCTAATGTGGCATCTTTGATAAAGACAAACATACTGAAAAAATACTTTCTATAGTCCATGAGTTATTAGGGGTGCTCTACCTTCCAAGTCACATTAAGAGTTGTCTTCTCAATCATTAAAAATCAATACTTGGTGCTTGATATATCGGTCTGCTTCACACATGTTTTGGAAGAATATATGTAAATCCATGCAATTGTATGTCTATGCATTCTTGCTTAAAAGCGTGCAAAGGTCCCCTCAGCCCATTAAGGTTTCCACTGGGAATGTATTTGATAGATACAAAGAAAAAAATAGAACATGAAGTAAAAGAATTACATAAAAAAATATTTTATCTATGTATTTTTTTTTATTAACCTGGAAGATGGCCTATTTGAAACTTGTTAATGTGGTATGAATCTTATTTCTTCAGCTGAGACAATGAAGCTGTTCAAATGTGATGAGAAGATGGATGGAGCTAAATACAAGAAAAGCCACAAAGAATTGTTGGCCTTCCAACTGGATATCCCCTTAGCATGATGAAGTCACCACCGTGTTTCACCCTATGAATGGTGCATTACATTAATGTGTTGTATTTTGATTTAGACACATCTGAAGACACCTTTCTTTAAGAGTGATATTTGTTACTGCACAATGAGGCTATGGGCTGTTTTATAAAACACTGACAACATCTGTGGTAAAAGGTTAAATATTTAAGATTTAAGAACAAGTTTGTCATTGACTGCATGCTTTTATACTGCCAGCCCATGTGACAGAGAGAGACAGCTAAAGAAGGATAGATTGACTCACGTGTCTTCTCCACCAGCTTGACGATAACCCCTCCGATGTGGAGGTCAGATGCAACGCTGATGGTGACAGGAGGGGCATCAGGGCCCAGGTCCTCCACGGTGACTGACAGGTCCCACGCCGCCATACTCTGAGAGCGATAGGAGTAGACTGCATGACTGAAAGCAGGACTCTTCTCAGCAGCAATATAATCAAAGAAAGAGACACATCTCCAATAGGATGGAAACACCTTGGACAGCATTATAACCAAAATATAAAAACACCAATGATCAATTCTCTTTGATTTCATCAGTATAATTTTAAATATTAGTGCAATAAAGAGAAGCAATCTGACTTTTGATTAATCATATCTCTTTACAGGTGCTGCTCAGTTAAGACCTTATCCGTGGTAGACACAAACACACTGAGTGACAGGCTTGATAAATGTTTCCTGTTTCTGTCTCAAACTATCACCATGGATGCACACTTCCGCTTTTTAAATGCATGCAGCAGGGGAATGAACAACGCGCCATGGGCTGGGCCGTTCATTCGGTGTTGATACTGTCCCCTCCTGCATGTAAATAAAAACGCATTTAAGAAAACAAAAAAGCAATTTACTTCTTGGATAAAAATGTGTTATTTTTAAAACCATATTTCAGTTCAAAAAGACAAATACAGGTTAAACAGCGTAAGCAGGACATGATTAAATCTAGCCCCACGTTTACTTGAAGGCCCAGACTTTCACAATATTTTTATAAATTCAGACCTATGCGTTATTAAACACATTTATTAACTTATAAATTACACTTTACATCTCTATATTTTAAATATAAACATCCACTGCCATTTTGTCTGTTCTCCTGCTTCTATTTCCACACACACACATACACCCTGTAAAAGACAGTACCCTGAGCTTTCTCCGTCCACAATTTGAAGAATTTGACCCTTGTGTCTTTACCAAAACTCTGAAGAAGTTTCCCTGGTCTACTGTGAGAATTTGCAGCCGTCTTACCTCTCTCGAATAGGACAAGTTGTGGTGTGTGGTCTTGCCTTTGCTGCTTGTGTCACCCCTTTTAAAAAAAAAAAGCTTGTTCCTTTTTTCTCTGTCAGTTTCCGCCAGGCGGAAATGTGAACACAGCTCAACTTCTGACTGACAGCTTGTGTTGAGTGATACATATTAGGCAACATCTGTGCTTCGGTTCACAATTAAAGGCCACATGAGGGTTGCCAGATCAGCAGTTAGAAATGAAAGGGTGTGGGATATTATTCCTTAATTTCACAAGTCAGGTTCGTTTGGTTAAAATGCAAAGTAAGGTTAGGTTCTATGCTAAAGTTTTATGCATTTTTTATTTTATTTTATTTTTTTATTTTTCCTACTTGCTTTGATTCTGTTTTATCTTCCTGTATTTTAATCATGTAAAGCACTTTGCATTGTCTTTGTACTGAATTGTGCTATACAAATAAATTTGCCGTGCCTTGCCTTAAAGTGTTTCCTTTTAAACCTAACAGTCCCATATGAACAATGCAAATAATTTATTTTTTATGTATAAATTTAAAAATTATTGATTAATTATATATAAGTTAGAGAAAAGTCTTAACTTGTCTAACTTCCTAATATTTAGGTTCATAATTCAGTTTTCAGTTATTCAATAATAAGTTACAATTATTTGTTAAATTCTTCAACAATTTTTATTTATTTTTTTTGTAATACGGCCTTGAGTGCTATGACAAGTGCTTTCAAACATAAGGCATTATCAATATAACTAGTAATAAAAAAGTTAGTATTGTATTGATTTGATTTGATTTTATGACAAAAGCATAAATATTTATTTTTTGTAAAATTTCATTAATTAAAAGCTTTCTGATGCAAAATGCATTGTATTTATTTTACATATCAAAACCTGTCTGCAGGGTTACATTACAGGCAACCAAGTGATGACAGTTTAAATTAATTCATGATAGGAAATGTGACATAACTAAATAAACCCTAAATAACTGCATGTTATTATAAGTAACACATGTTACCATCTGGTAATTAATTTTATTAGTAATTACCTGTTTAGACAACAACTCTTTTTTTCTGCTAATTGATTTGTATTTTTTAATAATTTATATAATGGAGTTTATAGTTTCCTATTGAATATATGTCCTATATTTTTGAAATGGAACCTTTTTTAACCCTTTATATATAAATAAATACAATTGAATTTAAAATACAGTTTGCTGAAAACTGCAAAGTATTTTTTACTAACACTATCTCACTTGGATAGCGTCCACTTATATTTTGGCTGCTATTTGAAAATTTAACCACATTATATAGTTTTTATATTCCGAATATATAGTTTAAACAGACATTGTCACTTAAAACTGAAATATCCGATAATCATGAAGCTCACACTGGATTTTGACCGTTGTCTTTGACTCTTCCATTTTTACTCATTTACGGGGTATAACCCTCTGTGAAAGGCTTTACATTTTAGATTTATTTTGAATTAGGTATTTTTGTGTATGCTGCGAGTATCTTAATCGGAATATTACAATATTTACTGATATCAATTAGTGGTTTCAAAGATGGACCCCCCTATGTCCTCACAAATGGTATATTCCACACCTTAACTTCCTAAACAAAGGTAGCACATGAGACTTTACACTGAGAGCTGTGTATGTATCGAAAGTGAAAGCCGACCACAGTCTGTGGCCGACATTTGAACTTTTAAACACAGTTCTTTACAGCCTGCTCGGTAAAACTCAAACATGGCGCTGCTAATATCAGCTCGGGTTTCAAACGTGAGAGCCCTGCCATGCAGTGCTCTGTCCCGTGTCCGGGCTGACTTCCAGAGAGCAGGTGTCAAGTTCAGGCACTTGTTCACCCCGGGTAGCCCCCAGCTCACCGGGACACATGTAACCAGTCCCATACGAAGTGCTGTTAACGCCGCAGGCCGAGGGGCCAAGTTCTCCACCACAGCAGCGGCGCTTCACAAATCCACCCGGGCTAACGGTTCCTGTCCACCTGGGTTGAGGAGAGGCTGGCTGGGAAAGTTTGCCTTCGGTGCCGCCCTCGGAGTGGGGACAGCCGCTGTGGTGCAGGCCCTTCACACTGGACTCATTACCGCTATGGCTCTAAAAATGAACCTGGACTCTGCTGAGGGGGACTGGAAGGAAACCAAGGGTGAGAAAGAGAAAATCACGACCTTTCAAATGAACCTGGCCAAACTGTCAGCTGCCTGGATTGATCACAAGCTGTAAAAAAGCTGAATAATTAAGTATGAAACCCAATGAAACAACTCTCACAGTAGTGTTAATATATTAGTTTCCTATTGGTAAGGGGACCCTATTTTAAGATTTTAACATCTGTAAGGTTTGCTGCTTATGATGCTTTTATTGCCTTTTGCTTGAGGCTTCCTTCCAGTTCCACATTGATTCAACAAAACATGTTATAGTGTCAATATTTTCTACTCTGTACAAAAACCAGCAAATGTTTTTTTTTTATTGGGACTTCATACACGTGTAGGATACATTTCTGTCTCCCTTAAAGTCATTACCCCCTAATTATGATAAATGTAACTTTATTTAGTTTATCTATTTAGCACCAATTTATGACTGTCCTCTCAAGGTATTTTACAAAATGCTTCCAATTTATACAAATACATTTATAGTTCACCAGGTCAATAGAGTCTGAGTTAATTACATGGACTTAATTCCAAGTTTAGTTTGTATGTATGTTTCATACTATATACTGTATGTAGTATATTGTAAGATTTGTATTGTATGTAGCCATAGATCCTGTATCCTGTGCACATGTATATATATAATTTGTCTGCGCCATCAGCTACAAGTCAAATTCCTTGGAAGTGCAAACTTACTTGGCAATGAACTTGAATCTCTTTATTATTCAAACCAGAAGAAAATATTAAAGCATAAATGTAATTGCATTGATTTACTGATCTTGCAGCAATCCCTCCTCCTGAAAGCATTTAACAACAGCAGAAAGGAAAACTTCTAAACTAAACCCTCCAGCAGAGCCTAGCTCATTGTGTTTATCTGTTATGACCTGTTTCAGCTAAAATAGGGTTGATAGCAGCAGCAGCTCCATCTTGGAGAGAAACATGGCTAAACAGAGCAGCTCTCAACCAGTAGACATAGACATGAATACATAGACGCCTCATTGAGTGGGTTGGCTAGTGCATGTTCGCCATATTGGAAGAGTCAGCGCTGTGCTGTAAACTACTACTAAGTCAATAATAGCCATGGAAGCAAATTGGTACAAAAAAACCTAAATGGTTTTAATCACTGGATTAATTCAGACCCCACAGTCACCAACCCCAAAATAACACATATATAAATAAGCATATGATTTATTTATTGGGACATTTGGAGGCAACAAACACTGTTTTAAATAACACACATCTTCCCAGAGTTTGAAAATATAGACATTTGTTACATTTGGAAATGCACTAAAATCCTTTTTAAAGAATTGCTTAGAATATTTTCTTCCTTGTGTTTCCAATATATAATGGGATTGTTTTCCGTTTAGCAGTGCAGTGCAGGGCAGTCTCGGTACTTAGTGGTAATAATGATGATTATAAGTATTATTATCAGAACACTGAGGAAGAACTAGTGGAAAACCTCTCCCTCTTTAGAGTGACTCATCAGCATCTTTTGAAAACCTCCACACAAATACAACAGTTAGACATTAAAATATCAACAATTCTCTTACTCACATTTTTATATTGCCTAAAAGTGGGTTCGAGCTGGATAATTCACTGATTAGTTAATTTAACTTTTGAATAATAGACAAAGGAAGTTTTGTTGGATTTCTCTTACATTCTTGACAACTTCAGTTCCAATATAATGGATATATTGGATATATATATATATATATATATATATTTCTTGTTAGCCGATTGTTTACATCCTCCCCCATCTGTTTTTCCCAGACTTCTTGCTGTCTCTGTCTGTGAAGGACAGGCGTGGTTACTACAGAACCTCTGGCTCGGTGCCACTGGATGACATCCCAGTGTGGACTCCCACAGCAGGTCAGACCTCACATCAGTCATCTGCACAGCTCAGGGTGGAGGAGATGTTATTGCCTTCAAGAATTAAAAACAGCTTTTATTTTTTGCTTAGGATAAAAAACAAAAAAAATTCTGTGATGGAGATAATTTTTTGATCAATGCAGACGTATTCCAAGAATTGGGACTATCTTAATCTCTGTTTAACCTGTGGATAACTTTGAGCTGGTATAGTGGTTTTTAAACCAACTCAAACATAAGGCTGCAGAATATATAACAAATCGCATTATCACTTTGTGCCAGTACATATGGAAAATAATTTATGGAGTGTAGTAATTATTGGTTATAATTTTCAATAGTGTTTTGAATATTTATAAGATTTAGGTAGCTCACAGCAGGACACGCTCACACTAAGTAAAACCATTACTACCCAAAATACTAAAGGTCACAGATTGATAGAAATCCAGAGGAGAAAATGAGGAAGAAAGTCTCCATGTATCACGGATACTATTACTACTATTATCCCTAATGTCTTCAAAGGCTGAGCAAAGCAGCAGAACTGCAAATTTAAGAACTGTATAGAGGCAGTGACCACTAAAACAACCATGCAGCAGACTGGACACCGCTAAAAAAACTCCATATAATCCATATTATTAATATATTTTTTAATTATATTTGATTAATTAATTTATCACTTTCTAAAAATTTTTTATTTGGGATATTTTACAATTTAATTGTATATTTACTATTTGAATCATGTATCAGATGGAAAGATGAATAAATAAATGTCCCATCTACTCATTTCATGGTATTTTTATGTATTTCATGAAATGCTTTAGCTGCTCCAAGGTATCTGCATTATTGTGATACGTTTTTTTGTTTAAGAAATAAACTTTTTAAAATGGAACGTATCTAAGATGATCCAGATGCTATAAGTCAGGGACTCTTGGCATCACTCTAAAGTGATGTATAGAAAAAGTGATAAGATGTTTGTTTTTGAAAATGCCAAACAAAGATATTTGTGTCGAGATTTATTAGAACTTTTCATCACAGGAGGGGGTGTGTCTCTACATTAAGGTAGTAAAACAATAAAGTGGCAGCACCTTAGCATTATGTTACTTTGTGGCACAAAGTTTTGGAGTCATCTCTACAGGAACCTGGAGTCAGGTTGTTCTTCAACATTATTTATTTGATGTTAATTGGACCGTGGACCCTGACGTGTACACATCAGAATAACTTTTACCTTCACCACATTGACTGGTGAGGTACAGCATGAAGCTTTTGAATGGATAATGTGAAGGAGCTTCACCTTGGATCAACCAGAGGTCTAAAATTCTCGCTTTGTGAAGATCACAACCATTCTGGATAAAACCAAAATGTAAAAGAAGACATTTTGATCATGGAATTTCTACGGAAGAGGATTAGGGCCACTGAAGAAGAAAAAAAAAGTTAACCGATTTTTAAATTTTATTACAGTTTAGTATGGGGAAAAAGTGGAACTCTAACTTTAATCTCAGAACTCTGACTTTAATCTCAGAATTCTGACCTTTTTTATTGTCAGAATTCCGAGAAAAAAGTCAGAAGTCTGAGATTAAAGTCAGAAGTCTGAGATTAAAGTCAGAATTCTGAGATTAAAGTCAGAAGTCTGACTTTTTCCCATACTAAACTGAAATAAAATTTAAAAATCATTTCACTTTTTTTCCCAAGTGGCCCTAATCCTCTTCCGTAGATTTCCTCTTTATGCCTCCAAAGATGGACATTCATCTTTAGAGGCATCCCTATCCACTACATACGAGCCACATGGTGTGTGAGATAACTTCCTGACCCCTCATCTTGAAATAACATACAGATTTTATACATTGGAAAATGCAGAATTGTGATATACCACTAGAGGGAGCTCTTGTACTTCCTGAGTACCTGTTCCCCCAGCTTGCTGATTGCTGCTCTTTGAACAGATTTATAAATCTAACCCTTGCTGTGTTTGTCCCCCTCCTCAGGAGCCTCTGAGCCAAGTCGCTACCAGAGAAATGAAAAGTTAGACCAGAAGATTTCAGTGTACAGTGGCGACATCACCAAGCTGGAGATAGATGCCATTGTCAATGCAGGTACAGAATGAGTGTTTCCTTTTCCGTTTTGTCCCTGAACAACTTCAGTCACCATAAAAAGGAAAGAACAATTATTTTCTTGCATCATAAACTAGATGTATGTTTTTTTCCCCCCTTTGCTTCCGTCTCCAACAAAAAGCAGAAGAATTAACACTCTGAAGAACACGAGAGGGGGAAATCTAAAAAGGCATTATGAATTTAAAAGGTTCCAGCAGTGTTTAGCCTGGCTGTGCATTGATGTGCCTATGCATAAATTTTGCAGGAAACATCTGTGAGCAACGTCAAAGCTGTAATTATGTGCATAATGTATTTTTCAAGTGTTGGTGGGACAGCCAGAGGCTTTCAAGTGATTATCAGCATTGTGTTCAAGATATTCTTTCAACTAATTTAAGTACCCTTCTAACGAAAGCGAGAACAAGAGAACTGCTATTTAGAGCTGTTGAAAATACCAAAGATTTCCAATACAAATATAACAAAGGGACTGCTTAGCTTTTAATGAATGGTGGAAGCTTGTGACCGATAAAATAATCCCTTTTTGCCTCCACTGCTCAGGTCAGGTTTCGGTATTAATTGCTAAAATGCAAAAACTTAGGAGCATTGTGAGAAAGGAGAATAGAAAAATCAGTTAATTTCTACATCGTTTCAAGAAGAAGTGTTGCATATTTCTTCTTTTACGACATCTTAGGATAAGATCAAGAACAGAAGGTTTGCATGAATACCCAGTGACAAAGACTTTGGAATAACTTTTGTAAATAGAGACACTTATTAGACTTAGAAATAGTTGAGCAAAATGCCTTTTATTCGCTTTGGTCATGATACCTCATAGTGGCTCAAAAGCCTGAGTGAGAGCCGATCCTAAATTTGGGGCCAGTTTTTAGGTGGAGTAATGTGATTTGCAGATAAACAAGGACACTGCAATGCTCGCATTGATTAGTTGAATACAAAGCTGTGTGTGTTTGGAATAAATTAGATTTTTTTCTTTGTGTTCATGTGTAAACGGCTCTCTATAAGAACCAGTTGGTTAAAAAAAAAGCTGATAATTAGCAAGTTGGACGACAGGACGTCCCTAGAAACGTGCTTTGGAGCATTTGGGGCCCGTTTGTTGATGTATAAGCCCTTGTATGTATCGTCAAACTGGTGGTTGGAGGAAGGCTGTTTTTGGATCCGGGCGCCGGAGCAGATCTCCCCTGTAGGCTGATGTGTTCTAGAGATGAATCTCCTTCCATCTGTCAAGCTTGGCCCAGACTCTGCGGTGGTCAAGTATCACTGATCCCAAACAAAGCAGTAAATCTGCAACAGAGAGAATGATAAACAACTGAAGGTATGTCAGGGAACAGCCTGATGGAGTCAAATGTGTGCAAACCTTAAGGAATTAAAGACGTGTTGTAAAGTAGGATGAATCTAAAGTCCTCAACAACAAATTTTCCCATGTCAGTTCAGCAAACCAACCAAAATTTATCGTCCCTTTTTAGTTTTGTCATTAAGAAGCTAAAATGTAGTCTTAAAGCCCTAATGGTTACCATTAGATGGAGCCAAATACTGGTGTATTCCACCAGGAGTGTCTTCTCTAAGGCACTTTTAGTATTTAGGGGAAATTTGATCTTAGTCTTGGCACAGGTGGCGTATCAGCAGCGAGCGGGGCGGACGGGCCTAAACAATGCTTTATGATGAGGCTTCAGCTGAAAATTATGGATTTTTATTGGCAGCTGACTGTCAGCAGGCGGACGCCGTGCCAGCACCTAATAAACATGTTGATTGTTGACTTCTGTTTATACAGTTATTGCTTTTGTTTGTGTGCAGCCGTGTGGCTCTGCCTACAAATATTTGGGTAATTATGAGTGTTTACACAGTAAGTTACAGTCTGTGTGTGTCTGGGGAAGCTAGTTTGTATGTTGTTTTTTTTTTTTGAAGGGTTTTTTTAACAGAGTCTCAGGATGCAGGGTTGCGTTGAATTAACAAGATGAAAAGAGCTAGTAAAGTGTCGCTTTGCAGAGAGGACGAAACAAGGTGAGGCAGGGGAGAGACAAGAAAAAGAAGAAGAACTCGGAGGAATCATGACCGAGAGAGTCGGCGCGCTCAGAGTAAGTAAACCCAGAGAGGAGTCTGGGATAGAGGAAAGAAGAAGATAAAAGCCAGACGGGGAGAGGGCACAGGCTAGTATTTAAATCTCGCTCTGCATCGCCATGGCAACAAGCAGGTACAGGTTAGCCTGAAAAGGGCTTTGGGCAGAAAGGTCTGAACATCCTTTTCTGTCTGACTGATTGGCTGTCCTGCTGACTCTCTGTGTGGCTGTTTTGCTGGCTAAGAGGGCGACCTTCTTCCTCAGTGACTAACTGATTGACTAAGAGGCTTTGGGTGACAGTCGCACTTTAGGTAATGTGACATTGAAATGGGAGAGCGCAGCGAGCAGAGATGGAGTCCTCATCTTTTTTTCTTTTGCTAATCTCACCAGCATAGCTCCTGCTTAGAAAGCCTCCAAGACGGCGCCTTTGGTTTTTGACATGTGGAAGGGAGGGCTGTGGATTTTCTTTGGCTGCTCCAGAAGGCCTTGAAGCATCATTTAGCCCCTAAGGCGGCAGGCATTCAGTTGAAGCCAACTGCGGCCAATTATATGCAACACGGACAGACTGGTGGGAAGGTTGGGAGAAGGAGACTTCCAGGGCCTGCTGGTAGAGAGAAGCTGACACACAGATACAGAAACAAGCCCGTGATAAAGGCAAAGAAGCAAACGGATTCAGACATACGGCAGCAAAGGTCAAAGAGAAGAACGCAGCTTTAGCTTTGAAAAAAAAAATGGATTTCATATGAAATCAGAACATCTTTGTATCCAAATGTTTGGATACGCTCTGGGAATAATCATTAATAATCATTTAACCCATCAACACAGAAAAACTGTGATGGGGTTACCTTCTAGCAGAACAACACCCCTCCTCCACTTGTTGCTGAACGCTGTCAGTCAGCTGTGGATGATGGTTAAAAACAGAAAGTTGGCTGGTAGGAACATTATGCTTTCTGCACCCAACTAAAGTCTCGTCTCGTCTCGTCTCGTCTCGTCTCCTCTCCTCTCCTCTCGTCTCGTCTCGTCTCGTCTCGTCTCCTCTCCTCTCCTCTCCTCTCCTCTCCTCTCCTCTCCTCTCCTCTCCTCTCCTCTCCTCTCCTCTCCTCTCCTCTCCTCTCCTCTCCTCTCCTCTCCTCTCCTCTCCTCTCCTCTCCTCTCCTCTCCTCTCCTCTCCTCTCCTCTCCTCTCTCTATAAAGACTGGATTTACAGTAACTCTCATCTCCGCCTCCAACCTCCTCTTCTCCCCCCTGTCTCCCTCCTCTCCCTCCCACCCATGTCCCAACACTTTTACAGCCCCTGGCTTCTGCCCACTCCTATAAAACACTACAAACATAAAAACCCACAAGCACTTAAGAGCTGTCCTGGTAAGGAGGGCGGAGGGGACGTTTGGGTGGGAGGAGACGGTGGGCAGAAACATCCTCCTCTTTACACCCCTCAATCAATCCATCTGGAGAAGGAGATGGGGATGGAGGGGAGGATATATTGTCTCTGATGGGCTGGCTGATTAAGATGGATTGCACAATGAAATGTCGCAGAAGAAATGAGTTCTTGGCGCGGGTGTGTGCGTGCGCTTGCATTTACTTCACGTCTCTCCAACTAACTCTGCATTAAAACCTTTTTTCGATCTGATTAAATGCAAATTTGCTTGGCTTCACTGAGCTGGATTTTCACCTCCAAAGATCCTGTTCTTCATTTCATGTGTTATACTTGCTTATCCTCAGTTTGGAGCTGGTCAAGTTAAGAAATTGAAACTAAGTTTAAGTTTTCTCTGTAGAACAGCAAAGCTGCAGTGTAATTGAAAGTGATTTAGAAACAGATAAAGTGTCGCCTCTCTGCTGTTGGTGATGTCCTTTTTTTTTTTTTTCTTTTTCCCCCGGTGGAAGGAAATGCAGCAGCAGAGTAGGCTGATAAATCTTTCAAGCCAGGACATAAAAAACTGTCCTTAAATTAAGCCACGCTCTGTGAAGTGATAAATAATATTTCTGTGCTATCTCAGTCTTTAGAGCTCTTGTCATTGTCACAATTTAGAGCCTACAGGAGTGTTTTGTGAGTTTATACAATACTTTACGTCATCAGTGGATCTGTGTGTGCATTGTGAGGGGAATTTTACTTATTTTTTTGGTGCAGGTGTACTGTCATATGCATGTGTGTGCAGGAGATGGGGTCTCTCTTCTGCTGGTCAGAGATAAAGCTGTGCGTTGGCACTGAAAAGCCCTCTCAGCGTGGCAACAGCTGAGAGATACTAGATTAGAGTCGGACTGCAGGTGACAGACAGGATGAGAACCGGAGAGTCTGTGGACTGTGCTGCAACCTCCCTCGCTGATAAGAGACCTTAAAAACGCAGGCGGACCTGGTGATGGACGGCGCAGCCGGTGTGCTGACAGACAGTAAGGGGGGGAAGAGTCAGAAAAGGATGCAGCAAGAGGGTCAGCGTCTCCGCCTCAACCTCCTCTAAAGGTTCTTGTTTACAGAGAAAGATTGTGATGATCTCTGAACCAAACATGAACCAGATGATCTGTGTTCACCTTACAATATTGGATTTCTTTAAAAAAATGAGTTGATGTAACAAAAAATACTGTTTTCCAATAATAAGTAAAAAAAAAAAAAAAAAAAAAAGTTATCCAAACTAGGGCTGAAACAATTAATTGGATTAATTGATTATTGAAATAATCGTCCACTAATTTAGTAATCGATTAATCATTGACTGGAGTTTAGAGATTGTAGAGCATGCCTTTAGGTGACAGGTAACCAACCCTTTAGCAGCAATTATACTAAAATTATCAAAAAGATATTTAAATAATTTTGCATTTAAAATAAAAAAGTTTTTTCATCTGTCAATATGCTCTATCCAGAACTTGTTTTAGTTTCACCTGGTTTCATTTTGTAAAAAGTCTTCTTTAAGGAACCTTTGGTTATCCGATTATTTATCAATTAATCTAAGAAAATTATTGACAGATTAATCAATTTGCAAAATAATTGTTAGTTGCAGTCCTAATTCAAACTTTCCTTTAAGTGAATGAGTTATTTTTCCCCCTTAACCTAAACTGGCTGTACCCCCTTTAATAGGGACAGTGGGCATCAGGAATCGGCAACCAGTCCTTCCATCCCCCAAGGACTTCTGGTCGCTGATGGCTGAGCATCATCAGCTCCATTTATTACAGCCTGAAGGAGCCAAGCTTCTCCAAACCATCAGCTTTTGTTTTGCTGTGGGTTTGGTTCTGAAATGCTGTTTTCAGTTTATACAGGGTTACATTTTAGCCTTCCTCATATAAAAACTCAGCCCCATCATTTGGATGCTGGCTTCCAAACGGGAGCGAGACTTTAGTGTTGCTTTTAGTCAGAACTAATTTGACCTTTTTCCGTAAAAGTTTAAAAAAACAATCCACTGGACTTGGTTTCCAAGGTTTGAAGACGTTTCGCTTCCCCTCCAGGAAGCTTTCTCAATTCAAATGTCTAAGACAGAGGTCTTCAACAGGGGGTCCGCGACCCCTAGGGGGTCTGCGGAGGTACTGCATGGGGGTCGCGAAAGTCTTGGTTGATTACTTTTTTTTTAATATTCCCTCCTGCAATTTTTTGCACTAATTAAAATGTCTTTAAATACACATTAACATGAATTCAACACACTGTAGTAAACAGATAAATGGAGGCAGAAGATGTCTTTCAGTCATCAATGTACACATTCAGCGACACACAGGAGCGCTTTCAAACATGGGCACCATTTCATTCACAACACCTGTCCCATCAACCAGGAATCAGAATCAGAAATACTTTAATAATCCCAGGGAGAAATAACTTTCATTACATTACTCCATCTGTAATAGAGTGACTGTAGGACCAGTTTGATATAACACAATTTCATACAATAAATATAATTAGGGGGTCCCCGCTCCATCTCGCAATCAGTTTGGGGGTCCTTGGCTTTGAAAACGTTGAAGACCACTGGTCTAAGACATTTGAATTGAGAAAGCTTCCTGGAGTCCAGTGGATTGTTTTTTAAACCTTTACGGAATGACTTTGACCTGGATGACTGAGAATCTTCATCAGCATAATTTTACCATAGCACACTCATGATGCCATCGCTATAAAATGTTTTTCTTATTGTTGAAACCGTAACTCTCTTCTCTTTTTTTTTTCTCCGTTAAGTTAAAATGTTCTGATATTGAAATTAGTTAGAAAATCTAAAGCTTTTAAACTTGCCAACAAGAAAAGAAGCAGAACCAGAAGAAGTCAGTTAAGGTCAAAAATATATTTTCCTACAGCTTTATGGATCTGAAGTCAATAAAAAGTCAATGCAGAGAGATTTGTCTTAAACTCTGATGTCAGGGTGTGACATTGCAGGTCTCTGAACCAGATCCTTAGAGCCTGAGAGGCGTCTTCAGTCTTAAACTGAGAGCACACTCTGTGAATTTCAAGCTGTCCCCGATGAAAGCTGTGGAACAAGGAGCAATGGTGGCTGTTCTTTAGAAGCAGCGGCCCTTTGGAGGCGTTGCTGTTATAACAACATGAGCTGAGAAGTGATTTTATCACAAGTTTCGATAAACAAGCTTTGATTGCAACCGTCTACCACCTGCTAAGTGAACAGGAAGTACACATAAGGAAGGGCTGGCAGGACAGAGAGAAGAAAACTGTGCAATGTTGGGTTATTAATGGAAAGATTAACAGGAATAAATCATATATTAATCTAAATATATATAAATCTGAATAAGACCTAAAAGGTTTTGTTCTCTGTGGCTTTTCTTTTAGCTGTTTTATAAATATCATTGCTTCATCTGCAAATCATTTCTTGATAATCGGGTGAATGAATGAATCTCACTTTAGAGGTGATATCTATAAAAACAAAATAGCTAAATATTAAGAGATGAAGTCAGTTATTGATGAACATAGAATTATGTCATCACAGTGCTAATTTTTATCTGTTAATATGAATTACTGTTGTATCTATTATTTTCTAGTTAAATGATCCCATTGAAGGGCTCTGTCTGCTGTAGACCGTACATTAAATTGATTTGTTTGGGTTCTGGTTGCCTTTTACATCTGTCTCTCTCTCTGCTCTCTGTTTGCACCATCTACCACATGTTAATGCTGTTAAACTCCCATCCTCAGTCTGTTTCTGTTGTCAGGGTTGCAGTAAATATAACTAATCCATGGTTTTGTTGCTTACCCAATCTATTAACTGATGACGCCAGGTACTATTGAAAGTGAAATAGGACATTTTGTGCAGGCCTCATGCTTTGCAGATTCAATTCAACATTTCAACAATAGCTGAAGGAATATTCTCAGAAATGATCAAAGTTAAACAAATAAAGTATTGAGTATGGCTACAGAGAAAGGACCCACTGATTAATCCATACACTAAGGCTTTATTGATTAGATGTTTATTTCGTATGTTGAATAGAAAACCTAGTTTTTGAAGGTAATATTTGTCATTTAAATTGTCACCATAAAATTTGGGGGGGGAAAAATCTCTATATTTTCAATTCAAAAGTTTAGTTTTATGTTTTTTTATTTTATAAACCCTCTGTGTTAGTAAATTTTTTGTACTGCAAGAAGTAATCAGATTTTCCGTTTGGTTGTTTTCCACCTAATCAGAGTGAGTCATCATATGTCGACTCTCTAATGTGAGGCAGAAAATCTGTTTGTTGGATGTGTGGTTCATTAGATTACTAATTCATGGTGTCATACAACTATTTGCTCTCTAACATTGGTTGCACATTTATAATGCTAATAAATTGTGACTTTTTAAATTTTGAGTTGATAATACAAATTTTCTTCAACCAGACAAAGGTGCTGTTATAAAATATATACATTAGGGCTGCAACAACGAATCAATAAAATCGATAAAAATCGACTTTTAAAAGCGTTGGCAACGAATTTAATCATCGATTAGTTGTGTCGCGCGATTAATGCGTCATCCGCCGCCGCCGTCATCCCGGGGAAGAAAAAAAAATATGGCGGAGCGAGTCAGCGCCGCAGTTGCAGTGTTGCCA